ACTTTACATTTGTCTTCTTGCCAAATACGCAGTGCTCACAAATTCAACTTTCTCACTCTTAGCTCCCTTCAATAGCCTCTGCTTGCACAAAGCCTAGCCAATCTCAGTGCTCCCCTTTAGATAATACAAATTCCTATTGCGGACTCCCTTCATAACTATCAAAGATCTCTTAGTAACCTTTGCTATATCGTTCTCAAAGGTCTCCTTAAATCCCTCCGCTTCTAAAGCTCCAACTGAAATAAGATTCTTTTTCAACTAAGGAATAAATCTCACTTCATTCAATTCACGAACTACTCCATCATACATCCGAATCCTGACGGTACCTATCCTAAAAATGCCACAGGATTGAACATTTCTCATGACTACCACGCCCCCATTGAGTTTTTCGAACGATGCAAACCAATCTCGTCAGGGAGTCGCATGATAAGTAGCACCAGAATCAAGCATCAAATCAGATGCATCCACATAGTTCACCTCTGGAGTAATCAATAGAGAAAAGCACGAATCATCGGAATCATCACCTCTCATAACATTCACCTCATTGGCCTTCGGGCCCTTCTTCTTACTATTCTCCTTCTCCTTGAGCTTCGGGAAATCTCTCTTCCAATGTCCTTGTTCCTTGCAGAACTGATACTGGTTTTTCGCTAACTGGTGGTGACCCCTGACTTTGACCTGTTCTTATTACCACCTCTTGGATATGAACTTTTGCCTCTCATAGCACGGGAAGTCTCTTTGTCCTTCATCCTCAAATCGTAGTTCATCAATGTGTTAGTCACTTCACTGTAGGTGATGGAAGATCTCCCGTTCAATAAAGTGAGCACGAATGTATTATACTCCTCATCGGGTAAGAAGCCTAGCAAGATAATCGCCTTGTACTCGTCCGTTATCTTCTCATCCATGTTCACCAAATCCGACAACAACTTTGTATAGTTGTTTACATGAGCCGCAAGTGAGGTGCTCCTAGATATCTGGAATCTGAATAATCTCTGCAGCAAGTGCAACCGATTCTGAACACTCTTTGTAAGATACTTGTTATTAAGAATCTCCCACATCTTCATCGCAAACGTCACCCTAATTACATCGTATTTCAGCTCTTGTTCCAAATAAGACCTGATCACCCCCACAAACATTCCTATTTATCTTATCTCATATCGCCTCATCATATTTCGGTGGCCTCTCATGGACCATAATGGTCTCTTCCAAGTTTTGAGCATTAAGAGTGTCATGTACGTCGCTCATCCACAAATCAAAGTTGATCTTGATGTCATATTTTACCACACTAATCTTAGTATTTTGAAATCCAACATGAACTGTACTCGTCATCGTCTTGCTGCTTTCACCAACTTCTTCTCCCATACTTACAAACTCCAAATTACAAAGAAAAATTCAAACTTTGATAGAGATTGAGAAATTACCCAACTGAACCCTAGATCAGATTCTAAATAGATCTCCTAACCACATGAGGAAAACGAAATCTTAAACCGGTAACTCCTACCAAAGCCTAGAACTCCAAAAACCAAGCTTCCAAAAAAACGTATCTTCCTCCACCCAATGCAAAACACTAGATCTGAAATCCTAGAGCTCTGATACCAATTATTGCACGCCGTGCGAAAATGTGCTCACAAACCAAATGAGTCGGTGAGCGATGAGCGATGAGAGAAGAGAACTAAACCAAACACGAGTGCAATCACCAAAAATATGATACAAATCAAACCAACATAGATAATTTACATGGTTCGGCAAATTGCCTACGTCCATGGGGAGAGGATGAGGAGATTTCACTATATAGAGGAGAAATACAACGGGTTACAATTCACACAATCACTCAAATATAATCCTAACCAAAGATCTCAACTTCCTCACAATATCTCCCTCTCAATATGCTCAAAAGACTCTTTTTTCTCTTTAATTCTCTCTTCTAATTTTCTCTTTTAAAGCGTTCCATATATATAGAAATCCTAAAATCAAAAACATACTAGGAATTCTAAAACCAAAATCAAAACAGATTAGAAATCCTAATAACCTATTACGAAAACAGATTAAGAATCCCAATAACCTGTTACCTAAATAGATTAGGAATTCCAATAACCTGTTACCAAAATAGATTAGGAATCCTAATAACCTGTTACCTAAATAGATTAGGAATTCTAATAACATGTTACCAAAACAGATTAGGAACCTGCTATCTAACACATAATGGATTGTTCTCTAATGAGAGGACTGATAAAATTCTTTGTATAAGAGGAAGGACTGGCATTTTTAGAAAATAAGGTTGTGCTCTTGAAGGGCTATGCATTGCTCAGAAGACTTACATTGTGCGCTGGAGAAAAAGTATTTCCGCCATCAATGCGAAGTGTACACTGATGCAGGTGTTTGTGCCCGTACAACCGAGAAATTATTGGAAAGAAATTGATAGGATTGAACTTGTTTTTTATGAGGCTTACTAAAGTTTTGTCATGATTAAATTGATATGTTAAGACCCCGTTTGGATGAACGTAACTATTAGAAGTAAGAAGTTGATCAAAGATGTAACTTCCTCAATTATGAAGTAGAAAGTAGCGGAAGTAATACTTATTTTGTTTGTATCATATATTTTTAGAAGTAGCGAAAATAATACTTCATCATCTTCTTTTATTTATTTGTTTGCTTGGATAGAAATTGGATATATTATTTAAGATCATCTGCCTTTGGTAAATCTCAAATTTAAGTGGACCCCACTTTTTATCCACTTCCCTTCTACTTCTGAGCTTTTAAGGGCAGAAAAAAATTTAGGAAGTAGGAGTGCCACCTAGACGTCGCATCTATATTTATGGAAGTAGCTAAAGTAGTCTTTTCGGAGAAACAAACATAATTTTTTGCTTGAAGTAGGAGAAACTTCCTCTAGTTCAATTACTTCTTTGCTACATTCGTGCAAGCAAACATGCACTAAGCTTATGGAGAGTTAAAAGGCTTTAATGAAAAGTTACATGAAAATAAACTGGAAATCTTTGCCAAGGATGACAGGTTACAAGGAAAAAACATGAAAGACCGCAATTATATGTGCTTGATGAAAGGTTATTTAATATCTTATAAGAAGAGTCATATTTTAGCTAGAGTATTAATCTCAAAAGGGTAGTTTTGTATTTCTACCGGTTTTTATAACACCATCTACAACTAGTTTAAACCTACCCAAATTCAAAGCGTGTTTCTTCCCTATATACCCAAAGTCTTAGTGTCGTACCCTCTATTTATTTTAATACCCACTCATTTCCAATTTTTATTACTTGTTTCCTATAAGTCCGAAGTTTTATCATATTTACTTTTGAATTCACCCACCTCAAAAATCATTCTCAGACCTAGAACACTCGACTTAATTATATTTTTCTTTTGTATTTTAGCATTTTGGTGTATAGCGCACTTCATTATATTTTGTTATAACTTTTTATATTTTTATTGTAAGTGGCTAAATATGCAACATATTTAAACCAAAGGTATATAGTGTAAGTTGATTTTTTTTTGTAATTTGATATATTATTATATTATATTATTAGCTACACGATATATTTTTGCACCAAATTCTTACATCATTTTTTTCTAATCGATGTAATGACATTCCTAATTGTGGATGAATATCTTCTTACCAACCCAAAATATTACCCTCATTTATTTTTCAACCTACCTACTTCCTCTGAAGAGTACTTTGTGCTATTCCCTAATGGAATTTTTACCTATAAACCTAAACCCCATTTATTTTTAAGCCCACCCACTTACTAGAAGGTGTTTTTTTGCCTATAAAACTAAAGAACTATTTTTAAATTCTCGATCAAATTCACTCTAATACAAAAATATTCTATGTGGTTAATTTTATACCTTCTTTCTATTTTAACAGTCGTTATATGATGTCAGTTCTTATGTTTTGTTGTTAATTATCATATTTATTTTTTAAATCACTAGGTATGATGTATTTATAAGTCAAATTCTTAAACCGTTATTTTTTGTCTTTTTTAGTAATCCATGGATAGGATTCTTTTTTCCCTATAAACCCTAAGTTTTACCCATGTTTGTTGAAAAACTCATCCGCTACTAAATTATCCTTAAATACAAAGTATTCCACTAAATTAATTTTAGTTCCACTTTGTGTTTCAATTTTTTTTTTTTTTGAGATTTTCCCACTAATATTGTGGTATCATGCTGACCAATTTTGTTTGTTTATCTATATACTAAAACTAAAGGAGGTTACACTATATATTTCTACTATTCATGCTACAATACAACCCTTTACTTGTTAGGGTTTTAGAAAAGTAAAGGTTTTTTCTTGACTAAAAGTCTTTCCCAATTTATTTTTGGATTACCCTCACCAAAGGTACTTTTACTACAAACTAAAAATGCCACTCCCTGCTATTTTGAAATCCCTCCACTCAAAAGGGATCTTTACATGTAATCCAAAGTTTTCTGCTATTAATTTTTAATTACAATCAAAATCGCTCTTATTCACTGATCTTTACATGTAATCCAAAGTTTTCTGCTATTAATTTTTAATTACAATCAAAATCGCTCTTATTCACTACTCCACCTAAATTTTATCCTTAGTTCTGCTATTAATTTTTAATTACAATCAAAATCGCTCTTATTCACTACTCCACCTAAATTTTATCCTTAGTATTGAACTCACTCACTGTTGAAAAGGTTTTATTGCCAATAACCTAAAGTTTTACCCAATTTATTTTTTACTAATTCACTTTGAAACTCATTCTTAAATTTAAAAATCTCAACTGAAGTAGCTTAAACAAGATTTGCATTTAAATAGTTTTGTATATTGTGTAATTTTCAATGTTTTTTGTTGTAACTTGCTTTATTTTTATTGTAAAAATTCCGAAGGGCCTGTTTGGTAACCAGCATTTTATTTCAAATAGTGTATTTGACTCAATTGTATTGTTTGGATCCATAAGAATTTAAATACTGGATATTTGGCCAAATCCGTTAACATTTTAAACCTATACAAGGCCCATAATTCTAAATCTCATGGATAGCCTGTCATTTGCAATTCCTGTTTCTTCTCTCCCCCTCCCGTTCTCGCGATCTCCCCCCGCCTCCCTCCCGCTCTCGCGATCTATCTCCCTCCCCACGTATGCTCTCAACCAGCGATGGCTACGGCGACCACGACGACGACGAGATCCAGTTTCACCTGCAAGCCCTAATTTCACCTCCGACGACGACGGCGATCATCGAAAACGGTGAGAACTTCTCGATCCTCTATCTCTAGTTCCACTGAAACCCTAAATTCTAGATTCAAACTCCATTCTCTCGATTGATTTCTCTACCGAGCTCCCTCCCAGCCAGCGAAAAACCCAGCCCGCCATTTCTCCGCTTTCCAAGCCCTAACTTTCTTCCTCTCGATCCACTGCCAAAACCCTAACCCTAGCTACCGCCGGCGATCTCCACCCAAACCCTAGCACCTCAATCATATTATTGGCGGTCGATCTCTGGATGGGCATGGATGGGCAGCAGCGAGAGCCCGGAGGAGCCAAAGAAAGGTCGATCGAAGACGCCCAAAAAGACCAAGGAGAGCGTGCTAAAGCAAAGTAATTTCCTCCTCAGCTTTCATTTTTCAACTTGTCTCTCTTCAATCGATCTGTGACTTGTAGTGATTTGAGGGTGAACTTGTTTGTCTTGTAGAATCCCCGGTGGAGTTCTTCGTCGAGAACAAAAACATTGCTGGATTCGATAATGTGAGTTCTTCTCTCTAGTGTTATTGTCCATTTTGAAACTAGTAGTAGAAGTTTTGTTGAATGTTTGAATGTTGCTCAGTGCAAATTGAGCTAATATTGATGACCAATGTTCTTTGAAAATCTAGTATCTGTAGAAATGGACATTAGACATGCTTGAGTTTCTTGAAGTGCATTCGGAGGGTAGAAAATCTAGTTTCAATCTCCTTCTTTAACGAGGTATGGCATTTTATGAGTGAGGTTTTGATGGTTGTGATCTCTGCCTTCTTTAAGAATATCAATCTCCTTCTTTAACGAGGTATGTCATTTATTCAAGCGGAGTTTTTCAGCCCTATATATTTGATCGGAACTTGTTGATCTTATGATTCTCAATGACTGATTAGATCAAGACCTAGAAAAATCACTCAATGCTTTTAAGTTCAGCGGGAAATGTTGATCAGATAGCCGAATTAGTGATCTTTGTGAATCAAAAGAGTAGTTTTATTTGGGGGAAATATTATGCTTTTGTGCTCTTATCTAATAAAGGGTTATAAATTTTCAAATTCTTATTGGATTTTATAAATTATAGTATCTACTATGTTTTTCCCCTTTTGAAAGGTCCAATGGCAAGGAGAAGCTTTTCCTTTAATTCGACTGACTAGACTATTGTGATTGTTAATGTACCACAACTTGTTGGAAAAGTGAGACCTGTAACAGGAGTACTATAATGCCCATGTATCGTGCACCATAAGAGGTTATTGTTTCATGGATATTCATTGTTGGTCTGAGACAAGTATTCGTGGTCTCGATTTTTTCCCCTACTTTAGTTTTCAATTCAAAAACAGTTTCGTTTTTACTGTCAGCTTGAAAAGTATGTTTTTTGTTAGTCTATCTTAGTCAGAGATTCTAATTATGATATAAAATTTGTATTTGTCTACTGTGAGTTTTTCCCATATTGTTATTAGTGACTCATTTGTGTTTTCCCTCCTCCAGCATCACTTTCTTGGTTATAAGTAGGAAAGTTGCTGTCTTAGGGAAAAACTTCCTTAATTGGATATATGGCGTGTTTTGGATGCTGCGGAGAAGAAGACTTTCACCAAGCTACTGATACGGGAAGACCTTTCACTGCACACCATGCGACAGGTTGCTTCTTGCTTTTCTTAAGTAGATTTAACTTTCATACTATTGGCTGTCACGTTGGCCATTAGAAAATAGGGTTAGTCGGATCAAACAGAATTTTGGTGCTAAATTACAGAAACATGCTTAAGATGAACTTCTTCAACAATTCCAGCAATCAACCAAGTGGCTCTATGGTAAAGATAGACATTAGTTATCATTGAGTGGATATGTTCTCTTATATCAAAAGGTTAATCTTTCAGTTTGTATTGTAATGTTCCTGAAATCAGTCAACTCTTTCTTCTGAGATTGTCGAACATTCCATTTTCTTCTTACTTTCAGTAATTTATTGGTCGAGGTAGTATTTGGACTTGTTGGTGGCATGGTTTTATATACGGAACAGCTCTGCTGAAAACATCCCTCCCTTTTGGTCTTCTTGTTATTGTTTCAGGTGATTCAAGAACTCGCAAAACAAGACTTTCTGAACCGAGGGGACGAAACTACAAAAGAAATACAAAGTGAAAGTGTACAAGCATTAGAAAAAATCTCTTATTTGAATTAGATGTAAAAGTCTTAAAGAAACTAGTGCGAGAGAAAACTTAAACATGACACTATATAAACTTAAACATGACACTATGTAACTGCAAAATATTAACTTTTGTTGGTTTGTATTTGTTGGATATTTTGGATCTCTACTTTGCTAAATTGTTATATGCAAATTTGAAGTTTCTACTTTATTTATTGTTTTGGTTAGTGGTGGATGAGTTTACAAAGTTTTATTGATGAATGATTTCGGTTATTTTATGGTGATTATTAGGTCAACTATTGACATTATTGCATTTGAGATTTTAAGGTATTTTATCTATATGTCAAGTTAGTTGGATATGTGATATACTATTTGAGGCATTTATTTTCACCAATTTTAATGCAAAACTTATGTAATTTGAGTATCTTATTTCTAAATTATCTTCGAGCTACAATTTTAGTTCAGAAATTAGGATTCTACTAGTTAGCAAACAACTCAATTCAAAATTTTAAAATTAAAATTCTAAAGTTTGCCAAACATGAATTTCAAATTGAATTCTGGAATTCAAATTTGGATGTTTCCCAAACGAATGAATTGAATTTGAAATTATAGATTTCAAATTCCAGATTTCAATTATGGAATTTGAAATGAAATCATTGAATCCAAATGCAACCTTATTTTTGTCCGAAGTATTTGTTTAGTGTATTGTTAAACGAAATGGTTGGAGAATTAGGTCTCTTGACTTTTTTCAAAAATGTCACGGCATGATGATGAACCATAGATGATTTCTTATAGCATCAAAGCTTTACCCACCCAAACCCCAAATTGATTTCAAACTCACTTTATAATCCATATAAGGTATCATACTTTGCTTTATTTTTCTATATTTAAATAGTCAAATGTGCAATGCATTTTTAAATGCTTAAAAGTGTTATTATCAGTATTTGAGTTTTTTATGCCACAACATCGCTAATCGTAAATTGGTATTTTGCCTATAAACCCCAGCTTTTCCCTATTTATTTAAAACCCACATACTTGTAACTTTACCCTTAGACCAACAATATCATACCAAATTTCTATAGCCCCGCTTGTTCAGTGGCATCCTCTCGAGCCAGGTTGCTTCAAAGTTAACAACAATGGCGGTCGTTCGACTTCAAGAGAATTTTTAGGCATTAGGGTCATTATTGTTAGGGATGATCATGGTAAGATTATGGCTGCAGGGACTTTCAAACAACATCTTTTCACACATGCTATTACAGTTGAAGCTCTAGTTATTCTCGAATGTATGATGTTCACCAAAGAAGCAGGTTTCTCTAAAATTCATGTTGAGAGCGATTGTCTTTTGGTAATTCCGACTATCCACAAGGCAAGTCATTCTGTGACTAGTTTCGGAACCATGATTATGGACATCAAGCTCATGATACAAGATATTCGTCATTGCATATTTTCTCATATAAAGGGAGATAGTAATGGAGTTGTCATAGCCTAGCACAACAATTTTTCTTAATTCAAGATGTTTGCATATGCTTAGAGGAAACTATTCTATTTATTATTTCCATTGTAACTAATGACCAAAATTATTAAATTAATAATATCTATGGTGTTCTATACTCCTTGTCCTTGACCATAGTTTTATGCATTTGGGTTTTCTACGCAAGTTGTTAATGAGACAGTTCTCCTTTTTTCCTTAAAAAACACAAAACTAATTTTAAACCCACTTTATGTTTCAACATTTCTTATATGGTAAAAGTGTTATATCTTGCTCTAACTTGCAATTTTTTCCCTATGTGGTTAGGTATGCAATATATTTTAAACTAATAAATTATTGTTATTTTATTTAATCTTTTTCTCACTAATCAAGCGCCATTGCTCGAGTCTATTTTACTCGTTAATGTCTATAAATGAGGTAACAAATAAATGAGAAGTTAAAAATTTTAAATATTAAAAATAGTAATTAAATATATTTTTTTTCCTAGAAACCGCCTTTGAAATAGAATCATTGTAGAAAAACCATCTTAGGTTGTTAAAAAGACTTTATGTTGCAATCAATCATCTAAAATCGTTATTGAGCTAAATTCTTTTACGGTTTTGCCATAATAATTAGCTGAAAAGTACCAATTACATTGGAAAGATGATCCTCAATGGAAGTTAGATGCGTCACCTGAGAAAATTTAACTAAAAAGTGAGCCCAAATGGTTGATTATAATTAAAATTTCTTTAAAGTTAGTTTATGTGTTAATTGATCAAACATGATTTCTATACAATGACCCTATTTTAAAATTGGGTCATATGAAAAAAACCAATTAACATGTAAGTTACAATCACACATGCCAGCCACATAAAAGAAAAAGACAAATAAAATCCATTTATAGTGTAATTTAACCAGACTGAATATGATAAAACCCCCTAACTTTGAACGTTTATCAAACCCCATATGTTCTACAAAATCATAAAACCCCTTTAAGTATAGGGGTTATTATGAAATCCCTTTTAACTTGAAGATGTTATTAAAAAAATCTCTTAAAGTGTGAACCATATCTTTTACTGAAAATATATTCCGCTACTTAATTTTATACCTATTCATCTGAAAAATTACAGTAAGCCGCTGTTATGAGAGTTTTTTGATAAAATCTTAATTATACCTATTCATCTGAAAAATTACAGTAAGCCGCTGTTATGAGAGTTTTTTGATAAAATCTTAAGAAAGAGGTTTTTTTGTTAACCCCTAAACTTGAGGGGGTCTCTGATATTTCGCCATTTAACAGCTGCCGTTTCTTTATTTAGTGTAGTTCCGTTGAAACTCATCATTGGAAAATTCCCACCCATTTAGATCAGAGATTCGGTCAGAGAACTGATGATCGTGATATAGTTTCCTTAGTGCGATTATATTACCGTTGAGAGGCTGATTAGAGTCGGTGCTAAACTGCGGTCTATAAAATACATATTGTTCTTCAAAAACCCTAATTCCGAAAAAATCCTCCCCCAAAAATAAACCCGCTCCTCAAAATGTCCCTCTCTCCCTTCTCTCAGAAAACCCTAATTCCCCGTTTCTTTCTCTCCGATCCCTCGGAGAAAACCCTAATCTCCTCTCTCTGTAGTTCTCCGATCTCATTGCTGCTAATTTTGGGTCAAATCATCACGTCCTCATGATTTTTGGTCTGATGCTCGACGGCCAGAAGTAGAAGGAGATTAAGCGTCCTGATCGGTAAGATGCTTGCTTTATTTGATCGTTTTGACATTTTGGGGTTTGTTCTTTGTAGTAATTGTTCCTAATTTTAGGTCAAAATGTGAGTCTCTGGTTTGCGACTTGATGATTTTTGGGCTGATGGTCAATGGTCAGATGTAGAAGGAGAACTCCAAGCGGTGTTGTAATTGTGAGTTTATTCTCGCTTTCTTTATTGGATATTTTCCTGTGTATATATCTTTCTTTATTTTAATTAAAGGATTTGCATGGGTCTTGTTCTTTTTTTTTTGGTAAATGAAAAATTTTTATTCATCACCAATATGTAAAGTTTTTTTGTACATCAAGAATCTCAAGAACATGTAATTGAGATAACAAATCAAAACCTATAGCTAAAGCTCAAGACCTAGCTATAACAAAAACTAAGAAACAGTTACAAAACCTGCACACAAACACTGTGCCTAGCTTCAGATTTATCTCTTGGGCCAACTCCCAGTAGTAGCATCTTCATCTTCTTCTCTTTATGGTCCCTATACTTAATCTGGACCAGGCAATCAAGAATACTACCAGCAGTATTATCTGAACCAGATTATCATGAACTTAATCAGATAGTCCTGTACACAACCAAAGTGCACATAACCCCACAGAAAAGCGAAAATATCTGCAGGGAGGGGCTTCAAGCTTTCAGCACCTGATTCATTATGCACAAGCATCAATAAGCTCATCTCTACCAAACGTGCACAATGTGCACAGTGTATATAACCTGAACAAAGAAACCAGCAACTAGATCCAGGAACAATATGCAGACTTTAGGGATAAAATCCAGTCTTTATGTTCAGATGAGAGCTTGTTATTATTGAGGATGTTGGTTAGAATTTCCATTTTAATGCTCTTGATTAGCTGCTCAGTATTATGGCTTCTTTGATTAAAAATTCTATCATTTCTTTCTCTCCAAATACAATAAACTGCAGCTGAAAATGTATGGCTTCTTTGATTAAAAATTCTATCATTTCTTTCTCTCCAAATACAATAAACTGCAGCTGAAAATGCCATTCTCTTGGTTTTTTGTTTAAAAACCTTTCCCCTTCAACCTGTAATTGCATGGGTCTTGTTCTGTGTAGCTATTACTACTTATTCTCGGTCGATCTAGGTCTTTGATGTTAATATGGGTCTTGTTCTGTGTAGCTATTACTACTTATTCTCGGTCGATCTAGGTCTTTGATGTTAATATTTGGTTTTTAGTTGCTCTTTTCATGTAATTGTAGTCGGTCCAAATTTCCTTGTGATGCTAGTTAATTAAGGTATTATGGTTATATGCTAGGATGTTTAAGGTGCTAATTTCTTGTATTCACGTTGTCTGTATATGATTGTTTCATGAACACATGTCTTTGTAGTTGGCCTTAATGACATTTCACCATAAAGTTAAAATAAATTTAAGATGTCAAATAGTTTACGTAATGACATTTCACTATATAGTTAAAATTATATTAAGATCTCCAATGGCTTACTTAATGACATTTCACTATAAATTTGAAATAGTTTTCAACCTTTTCGAGTTCTCAAGCTTTACAATTTTTTATTTTTCGAGTTTTCAAGCTTTTCAAGTTTTCAGATATTAATTTTCACTTTAACAAAATTTGACTTGTTCTTTATTTCATTTAATTTTCATATTTTATTTACCTTTTCAAGTTTTAAATAGTTAGAGTTTTAAAAAAGTTTAGTTCAATGGAACCTTGCTATCCGTTACATTCCTTTTTAAAATTTCAACTTTTGAAATAATTTATTTTTCACGTATTAGCAGTTTTAGCTTGTTTTGCTATTTTGTTTTGTTCTTTTATTCTTTTATTCTTTTGTCCCTAAAGAAGTTATCATTTTGAAATATGTTCAAAATTTACTTTTAAATTCTTATTGAAACTTTGGAAGATTGAAAATTTCAATCAGGTTGCTTAATGATGCTGTTCTATGGTTTTGAAATGATGTTCTGTTGAAATATCTTTCAAACTTCTCTAGTTTTCAAATAGCACTCTT